CCCCCCCCCCCCCCCGTGGTGTGAATGTGTTTTGCCTTTCAGAGTGTTAGCATGTTTAGCTGTGGTGTCTTTTGCCTGGTGAGCTGTTCATTGGATTTAAGCTTTGTTAAGGTGGATTCATGGTTAGCAGTTAGAATACAAATCCCATCTCCATTGTGGGGAGATGGGTGGGGACAAGTTTACTAAATAAAATAAATAAATAAATCTCTTGTTTTGTTTTTGGTTCTTGCCCAGGTCAGTTTGCTTATAGATAGGAATAAACAGTGGAACATAAAACCATAGTTTCAGAACTGTTTAGACATCACCTTTGCTCTATATCTGTGGTTATTAGATAGGGTTTTTTTTTAAACACTGCCAATTTGCTTTCTGGGAAATGAGTATTTATAACAAGCTATGCCGGCCATGACAACTGTTTTGTGAGTGGGGAATCTCCTTCCAACAGCTGTCAATTGATGAAAACATCACATTTTCTCAAAATTCTACTCACCTAAAGTGCCTGGTAACCTCTGCTTTAGTGTATATGGAAATATGAATAGTAGAAACTAACTTCAGTTTTGTACTAGGTGTAGTCTGGGTACCTGAGATGTGGGAATATCAGTTTTCCCCACCTATAGATACAGATTTGCCATACAGCGTTTCAGACATTTGAACTGACTGTTCCTTTTTAAATTAAAATATATACTTACTGCACACTGAAACTTTTTTTTTTTGCATACTTTATTAGATCACATTCCAGTTTATTGCAACGTTTTCTACTCTCGTGCCTTTAGTGGATTGTTCATCAGTACTACAAGAGAGAAATGATCTCACAGAGGTATAAGTTTTAAAAGTTTAGCAAATAACTTTTAGTATAGATATGAGAATATAGAACGTAAAAGAACATTAAAATCATATATTTTGCTGCTTGTTATTTGTAGCTACAAAATTAAGGTTTTCAGTAGGAAAAAAACAAATTATATGGTCTAAATTTACAAACAATTTTGTTTTGTTTATTTATGTTCCCTTGATTTTAACTTTTTATTTATGTTCCCTTGATTTTGATCTTGGTATTTTGAATATTTGTAGAAACTGAGATTTGTATGTTTTTGTGTAATACAAGGATTGTGTCAAGAATTAACTAAATTTTGGAAATTACATCTTAATTTATAGGCAGTAGAAAAACTTTTTTTTCCTTGTGTTTTGAAATTGTAGGTGGAGAGAGAACTGTGCTCTGCTACTGCTGAATTTGAAGATTTTGTACTGCAGTTTATGGACAGGCAAGTAGTAATGGGAAACAGCATGCTGGTGATGTGACAACCCTATGCAATGCTTTGGACACTGCAAGTCTGTGTTTCATAGTCATCTATGTTTCTAGTTTGAAGCTATTCTGAGGGAAAATGTTAAGCGTAAGAGTCAGAAAATGACAGAGAGCTGGATAAGTAGTTTGGCTGATAGCTTTCAAGAAGCAAAGTTTATAGGGGGCAGTATTTTTGGATAGGGTATCTAGTGATTGTCATGTGGCTGTTGTTGTTTTTTAGCCAAATACAACTACTTTTCCTCCTTCTCACTTTTGTGATATAGAAGACCACATTTGAGATGTTTGTACATCTTAAGGGTGAAGAAATTTCTCTCCTCTCTTTATGCAGTTCTATAATTTGATTGTTTTGTTTTGGTTCCTTGATTTTTTGATAATCAATTGAAACACTAATTGTCAGTCTGTCAAATAAATTAATAGCCCACAAACTTTTTTTTTATTAGGCTGCAAGCTCCTATGCTTATGGGTTAGTAGAGTAGAGAAAATAAAAGAAAATGAAAAATTTATCTCTGGTCTTCCGGAGTTAGTTGCCAGAAATGACTGTGAGAATATATTATGCAAATTTTATAGCATAACATTAAAAATAACATTCTACTTCAGCCCATACAAACAACAGAAAAGCTTGCAGTGATCTTTTTACTAATTCTGTTACTTGATTTTTTTTCCTATATAGATGTTTTGGACTCATAGAAAGCAGCACATTGGAACAAACAAGAGAAGAGACTGAAACAGAAAAGATGACTCATTTAGAGAGCTTAGTGGAACTAGGCCTATCTTCTACATTCAGCACAATCCTTACACAGTGCTCAAAAGAGATATTTAAGGTATTTTTCATCAAGGGGAATGATTACAGAAATCATATTATTTTCTTAATTTTTATAGGACCAAAGCTTCTGAAACTTTTAATTTTTTCATGTTGTTTTGAGTTTGAACAAAGAAATATAGTTGTTTGAACTGCATTTGTGGTGTAAAAAAATAAATAATGCACAGTGAAAATAAGTATAGTGACCTGGGATTTGAAGAACATTTTCAGTAATACACAAAGACTTGGGTATGCCTAATGGACTTCTTTATTTTATTTTGTTTAGAATGTCCCTAAGCCAACATTAATTGATCTTGAAAAATTCAGTAAGGTTAATATTTGGATGAGAGGCTGTCAGGAGATCTCAAGGTTATAGGCTAGACTGGGAAGTAAAAAAAGAACAGATTCTGGAAGAAGACAGTAGCAAACAATTTCCATTTTTTTTTTTGCAAGAAAATAATCCAGCTATGCCTATATAGTTACCAAACTCAGTAAAAGGACTCCTCACCTTTATTTTGCTTAAAATAACATGCCATGTCACAATCTCTGAATTCTCCCAGGATTAGTACAGAGTTGGAAAATAGCATAGCTGAGTTGGTACTAAGGCCAAAATCTCCTGCAGAACACTAAGTTATGCACGTAGCTTTTTAGGTTTAGGCAGTTGTTTTTTGCAATCAGTACTAGATCTTCTGACTTTTGTAATGGAAAATCTGTATCTGGACTGGTGGTAGAACTTTTTTTCTGCTATGCTTGCATTGTATACGGAGGGTTTTATTTTTGTTTTTTGGGGGAGGAACATTCAACTAGCTTAGTCCTCACCAGCATTTTGATACTGCAGCCCAGATACAGATATCTTGCTGGGATAAGAAAATGCCAACTTACTAGTCACTGATCCAGAATATATTAAAAAATTATACTGTAGTATAAAATAGACCCTAATGTTGTAGTGCTTAGGGGTAGCTGCACTCTTAGAGGACCCTGTGGTTTACAGGTGGTCCTTGTTCAGCAACCACACATTCAGCAAACATTTGAAGTTATGATGGTGCTGAATGAGGAGACTTATGACCAGTCCTTGTCATTGTGGCTGTTGCAGTGTCCCTGCAGCCAAGTGATTGCCATTTGCGACCTTCACTGCCAGCTTCCAACAAGCAAAGTTAATGGGTAGCCAGCAGGAGGTTGCAAATGCGATCATGTGACATCACGCCTAACAACTGTGCAGGATTCACCTAATGATGGCAGCTGGAACTGCTGTTGTAAGTGCAGTGTCCCTGCAGTCACATGACATCTTGCTTTACAACCGCATCACTTAGCGACGGAGTTCACGGTCCCAATTACCATCCTTAACCGAGGACTACCTGTATCAAGATTAATGTATGTTAACTTATCAAAATACATGGCAAATTAGCAAAGTTTAGTAGTAATATTTTTCTGTTTTCCCATAAGCTTAGCTTGGATGTACTTTTTAAACAGTTGATTAAAATGTAACTGACTTCTGTGTTCTGCTATAGAAAAGAACACAGTTCAGAGCCAATCCTTTTTCATCTTAGCTTGTCCATTAATGCAGTAATACAGTGTGCTGCATAATATTTTGAAAGATGGATGTGAGGAAGGGATAGGACAGACTCAGCCTGAATCCAGCCAAAGAGATGCTTAGTAGGCGTCTTTAAACTGTTGCCACACACCTGAATGATTCATAGGTCACAAACTAGATCATTTGCTTATATCTTGGGTATAATGAATGGTATCAAAGGCTGCTGAGAAATCTAGCAGGATCAAATTGGACCTGGATAACCTCACAAGCCTCTGTCACTTCCCCAGCCTGCATCCAGCATTCAGCTCTGAATAAATATGAATGATTTTATCCTCCAGATGTTTTGCAAATTCATCATAGCAGCCTCATAACTGATCTTCCACCTCATTCTTCCCTACAAGGTCCAGGTCACCTTAAACAAGGCTGCTGAGATGACTATCCACAGATAAATACAGAAGAGCAATGACGTTTCACTGCTCTTATCCCCATGATGTAAGCTCAAAGTGAGCTCATACCAACCTTTGGTCATATTCATGCTTCATAGTTTGCCAGCATTGTTCCAGGTGTTTCTTTTGCTGTTTTAGTATACCAAAGAGTTCCTTCTGATCAGCAGATCTGTTTGGTCTTGTACACATTATCCCTTTTGTTTTTTTGTTTAGGTTGCTTTGGAGAAGGTTTTCAATTTTGCTGTTTCAAATATTTTTGAGACAAGAGTGGCTGGTCGAATGGTGGCTGATATGTGCCGAGCTGCTGTGAAAGTAAGACTGTTTCTTCTCCTCCCCTTCTTTTCAGTTAAGATCTAACAATAACAACTCTGTTTTGTTGAAACTAGAATGTTTTGCCAATTCATCAGCGCTCTCCCCCTCCCATACAGACCTAAGATAGAATATTCTTTATCTAGTCCTTAGTACTTTTTTCTTTGCAGAATCAAGGCCATTTAGTAGAAGAGGTAAGTTCTGAATTTTTGCTGTGGAATGCTCATTATTTTGTCAGAATATCTTAATGTACATTTGGTTCTTTCTGACATTTCAGTGCTGTCCTGAGAAGTCTTTGAAGCTTTTTGTACCCCATTGCTGCAGTGTTATAACACATCTTACTCTCAGTAAGTTTCAATAATCTAATGTTGTAACTTGTTTATATGTGTAAGTGTATATTGCCTGTTGAAGATTTGAAGTATTTTGTTTGTAATTGTGTGTAAAAAGTTCTGTTCTGGAGAAGGAATATTTGGGAGATTCTAGAACTTACTGCTCTTCCTTCAGACCACACCAACCCAGCTTTTCTACCAAGGGCCAGAAGTTTTCTGGAAGTAAAACTTCTAGAACCGGAAGTCGTTTCTAGCATTCTGAGCATGTACTTCCAACAGCTAGAGAGAGTATATACAACATTCTGTCCTCTGATTTTATTCTCAAGAGATGGAGACTAGTTGAAGCCACCTAGTAAACTTCCATGGCTCAGTATGTGTTTGAACCTGAATCTCCCTGGTCCTTTCACCATGGCTAACTACTATATCACAGTAACTTTGATGGGTTAGCATGAGAGAAAAGATTGGCATGGGATCATCCAGTTACTGATTCAGTTATTCAGTAGTGTCCCTAATCCCAACTCTCTCTATTATATTACACTAATATAATGCATCAGTAGAATAGACATGATAGACTATAGCTGAAGGCACAAAGTGTATCCATGTCTCTTGAAGTTAGGAGAATATTAGAGATGTAAGGTCCTGAATGCTGATTTGGAAACAATCATAGGTGGGTTCAATGCTGGTAGGCTTCCTTCATTAGAAACTTGAAGCAGTATCTTCGCAGAAGGGAACTCTGCTGCTTGAACAGTTTACCTTTTCTTCACAATTGGAAACATTTAATATACTGTAAGAAATTAATGGGTAAAATAGCCCCTATTCTCTGATTTAAAAAATTCTCTTTCTCTCCTGTGTCACATGTTGGAGAAGAACAGGAGAGAACCTGTGATCCATCTATGAGGCCTGAAGTATATCTTATGTCTATAGTTTGAAAGATAATCTGCAATATAAAAAAAAAATAAGCCATTCACATGTCTATTAGTTGAAACAAATACATAATGTTCACTTCACATGTTAATTTGAAGGCCTAAACTGCTGTGTGTGGATGGCACAAAGACATCTGTAAACATATACAAGCAACCACATATTTCATCTAAGCTCCTTTTATGTCTTTTGCTTAAATAATAAGATTTCTCAGAAATCAAAATGGGAAACAGCTGAAGGTAGAAAAGGATGTTAGTTATTCAAGAACATTTAACTTGGTTTTTAGGAATATGCTAATTTGGGAAGGGAAACATATCTTCTGAATGATGAGTTGGTGGAAATTTCTTATATAATTATTAGGCAGCCAATTATATAAGACAGCATTCAAACAACTCTGGAGGTAACTTATTTAACTTCTTTTAAGAAAATGAATTAAACAATGTAGAAATAGGTGTAAGAAAGAATTAGAACAGAGATATTTTATATATTTTTCATCCTATAACAGAATAGAGGAATCACATGAGCCTGTGATATGTTATATGTTTATATAATTTTTGTACTTTCTAGTTGAGTCATAATAAATTTTATAACAATGGTTTTGTCAAGATAGCTTAAGTAAGAATCTTCAGAATTGTAAATATGTCATTACCAATACATGCTGCAGGATAGTAACATCGGGGCTTAATATATTTCATATCTAGATGATGATGTCTTGCATGATGAAGAGTTAGATAAAGAACTCCTCTGGAATCTTCAGCTTTTATCAGAGGTATTTATGAGAAATGCTAGCTTTAATTTTCGATGTATTTTGTTCATGTTTTGGTTTCAATACAAAATAACAAACAGAAGTTTCCTTACGAGGTGTATACTTAAAGCAAAAACTATCTAACTAGACCTGTGTGCTAGACTGCATTATTATATGGTCTGCAAAACTCCTATGGACAAGAACAGTGAGTTTTTAAATCTGATTTGGGAGAGGAAATATAAGAACTTGCAGCTCTAAAGCTGTCAGTGAATAATAGCAGGTGGAATTTTGTTCTCAAGTGTGTATGTGTGCCCCTACTTGGGAATTAATTCATAGGATCATAATGTTGGAATGGACCTTGGAGTTCTTCTCCAGAGTCCAATCCCCTGTCCAGGTATTTGAATTCATTCAAAGCAGCTAGGTGTTCTCTCATCACTTGCTTATTTTGACCTGTGTTTCTCTTCTGCCCCCCATGGTTTGGCTTTTGACAGGTTGAACCACTTTTTCCTTTTGTGAAATACAAAAATAGAAATTAAACAATTCAGACATTTCCCTATTTCCCATCACCATCTTGCCATCTGCAGCCAGCAGATGAACTGCTTCCTTGACTTTCCCTTATTCTGGACATATCCAAAGAACACTTCTTTGTTATTTTTGGCATTTATTGCAAGCCTGAGCATATTCTGACCCTTAGCCTTCCTGATCTTATCCTTATTAATATGGGCTGGTCCCTGATATTCTACTTTTGTTATATGCCCCTCTTTCCATTTTTTAAACTTAAGCTTTTGTTTCTCAGCTTATCAGATAGCTCTTTGTATAGCCACACTAGTTTCATCAGGTATCTCCTATTTTTCTTTCTCTTTGATAGGTCGGGTTTGGTAGGTTGAGTTTGGGCCTTAATTATCCAGAATTTCCTAACCCTCCCTCCCTAGCTCCCAATACCTCGCAGAGCTTTCAGTATTGAAAGATACTCAGAAAATTTAGAACCCTCTGTGTTTAAATCATCTTTTATGGTAAAGGCCTTTCATTTTCCATTTCATTTCCTTCGGCCAATTATGACATTTTTCTTTTAGAAATGTGTTTCAGTCATGGAGCTGTTCAATTACAGGTAGTCCTCGCTTAACAACCACAATTGGTACTGGCAACTCTGTCACTAAGTGATGCGGTCATTAAGTGAGACATGTGACTGTGACTTGCAAATTTACTATCAGCTTCTCCATTGACTCTGCTTGTTGAAAGCCGGCTGTGAAACTCGCAAATGATGATCACATGACTATGGGATGCTGCGACAGTGATAAATTCCTACTGGTTGTGAAGTGTCCGAATCTTGATTATATGACTGTGGGGATGCTGCAACAGTTGTAAGTGCAAGGACCCATCATAAAGTTACTTTTTCAGCGCTGTCATAACTTTGAACAGTCACTAAATAGGGCAGTTGTTAAGCAAAGATTACCTGTATTACCAATTTCAAGGTCATGTTCCACTGTTGGTATCTTTGACAGTTAGGGATGATTTCAAGGTTGGATGGGGAGATAAGTAGAGGGTTTCAAGAAGACTGGATTTGTCTGAAGTGCAGTGCCAGCACAAACTGTAAGACAAGGGTGAGTAAAATTAAAAGAGTAGGCAAACTGCTGAAATGCATGTCTATTCTTAAGGAAAAGAAGACCATCCTATTGGAAGGCCAACCTGGTAGGTTGCAGGATTAAAAGGAAAAAATGGATCAAATGTCTCTTCTGAACTATACATTCACATGAATTCTGTTGGGGTTTATTTCTGATGTTTTGACTTTTGCTAGATCACTCGTGTGGATGGGAAGAAGTTGCTGCCATACAGGGAGCAGCTTTTGAAGATTCTACAACGAACCCTCCATTTAACCTGTAAGCAGGGTTACATTCTGTCTTGTAACCTACTGCACCATCTTCTTCGTTCTACTACACTTATCTACCCCACAGAATACTGCAGTGTGCCAGGTGGTTTTGACCAGCCTCTTTCTGAATACTTTCCTATCAAGGCAAGGATTTTAACTTACTTAGGACTAGAGAATTTGACTGCATTTTTAAAAATAAAAGTACTAAACAATTACTCTGTTGCATTTCCTTGAAGATTTTTCCAGCTCAATAGCTATGGAAAGTGTAAGTGAAAGATGCTATAAGAGTAAACATGTGTAATGTCAATTTTATCATCAATGTATTATTTTATATCTTTATTTGGATGGTAGTACAGATCATCTTGAAGGGATGGGTCATGAAAACCAAAATTAAATACATCGTAGTTAGTAGTTAAACAACTACAGGCTGGTTCAAATGACAGGAAATTATTAAGTATGCATTTTTTCTAGTAACATTCCCTATCCTACAGTGTATAAAATTGAAATATTCCTTATTTCATACACTAGGTAGTACTTTCCCATTTCATTTTAAAAAGATATTTTTAAACATATTACAGGATAAATTAGTCTATGCAGTAAACCTGTTAATTCTGTAGCATGTGTATCAACGTAGTCAGGTTGATACACAGCTACAGCTACACAAATACAATTAAAGAATACCAAGCTAAAGATATATGCATATATTTTATATTTTTATAGTTTAAAATATGAAATACTAAAGGGCAGGGATGATATTAAGTATGCAATAAAAAGTAATTTTTAAATGTAATTGCATTGTTCTTAGTTTTATTTGGAAGTGCAAATAAAGGAATTTTCCTATATGTCCAGACAGTGGCAATGCCAAGCAGCAAGATATAACTAAATAATTATAATGATGATATCTCAGACTGCTTAGAATGGAAGTTGAGAACTGAGAGTCTCACTTTATCTCTTGAAAAGAAATTACATAAATTTTCCATTTGCCTGCTTGTTTATATTTATGACTGTCTTAAAGGAGCAAATTATCAAGTAGTAATCTGATTATTGGCATGAGAGGGATGAACATATACTGAAGGAAACTGTTTTCATTGGGAAGAATTCAGTAGATACCATCAGTACACACAATTTAAAAAATCCAAATAATCCATATTGTGCATCATGAAAAATGGATTTTGCCAAATGTTATTGTTACTCAAGAATGAATATGCTAATTTTACATAATGTACTATGGTTTTGCTAGCCATGTGAGTAGAGAAAAGAAATACTCAGGATACTGGCTGCTGAAGAAATTGACATATTCCTTTTTATGGAACAGATTGCCCAAAGCAGGAGATTTTTTCCTTTTTTTAATCAAAGTCTAAGCTGACTTTTCCCCAGAAGAGAAGAGCAGATTAGGAAACATGAATTTAAGATCCTGTTTGCATATCATTTTGGATAACCTCCTTAAAATTGGCTCAGGAAGTACCATCCATCAAATTTTATGGTTGCTATTTATAGCTACCCTTCATGTGGCATACTTAAGAACTTTGTTACTCTGATGACTGTTCCAGGCAGAATTGAAAGTGCTGACCTTGGCCTCAAAAGCAATGAATGGCATGCATCCAGTGTGTGTTTAACACATGAGTCTCTACCCACTCCATCTGAGTTCATGTGCCTTCTTTTGCTTAATGAATTTGAAGAGGGCTTTTCTCTGGGGGTCCCTCTATCATGAAACTCTTTCTGTCCTGTAAGAAGGTAGTGCCTTTGTGTAATTATATCATTGGAACTTCTCCAGCTTTACTAAAAAAAAAAAAAAAGAAGTTTGATTTGATAAAATCATCTTTTGCTTTTTATACTATTGTGTTAGCAACCTGAGTTAAATTGGGGAAAAAAGTAATGTAATTTTTTTAAAAAACCATCAGTTTAGCTCTTTTTAAAAGAAAGCCTGAGAGTAACTAATGACCTGAACATCTGTATGTATGTATGTACTATTTTTATCCTGCCTTTTATTTTTTTTATTTTTATTTTTATTTATATATATATATATATATATATAG